TATCAGTTTAAATGATAGGCCAGGAAGAAAAACTTAGAGACAGTTTAATAACTTGCCTGCAAAATGCATAGGAATCATCCAAAACAAAACAAAAACCACTTTTTATAAAAATAAAAAAATTCATTACAATGGCATGTTTTAAAATTAATATATAAAAATAAATCATTTTCTTTTATTGTAAATAAAACTGGTTGATATGACAACAAAAAATCCGTTTATAGTACTAACCAAAGTATATATAATATTTGTAATAATTGTTTAGCATCTGTATGTCTATATCTGTATTTATATCTATAGAGAGATGAGAGAAAGGAAGAGAAGGAGAGAGAGCAAAAAAAAAAGTAGAAATATCTACTTAAAGACATAGAAAAGATTAAAATAAATGGAAAAACATAATTTGTTTCTGTATAAGAAAACTCAAATTGTAAAGATATAAAATTCCCTTAATCTATAAATTTAATTGAAATCTAATTAAAATAGCAGCAGGACAGAGTTCATTTCACTTAATAAAATGAAATACAAATTTAACTGAAGAATAAATATGGTAAACTAGTCAGAAAAAGTATTTTTAAAAGTATAATGAGGTAGAATATAGTCTTAAGAGGTATTAAAAGATGGAAGCTAGAATAACACTTTTTTTATTGTGATCAAAACATAGAGATCAACTATGAGTACAGACAGGAGTTCAGAAATAGGGGTTCCCTACTCAGCAGGGAGTCTGTTTCTCCCTCTCCTTCTGCCTCTGCACCCCACTTGTGCTCACTTGCTCTTTCTCTCAAATAAATAAAATCTAAAAAAAAAAAAGGAGTTCCAAAATAACAGCAAAATATACATGATATTTAGTCTACAATAAAAGTGGCACTTTTTACAATCAGTGAGGAAATAAAAGTGAATTGTACTGGAAACAAATTATGTGTGTGTGTCAATCTATATTTGTGCTTTATTACAAAAATCATTTCCTCATAGATCAATTTTTAATGGTGAGGAGAACATAAAAATTAGAATATTGTGTTTATTAGGACACTATTTATTAGGAATCTTTTCCCTTCTTTTTATCCAGTTCCCATTTAAAGTTTGGCTTAATTATAGAGTGAGACAACACTTAAAACTTACAAGTACAAATATTAGGGGAATTTCAACAAAGAGATTTTTATTTTTAATCAGAATAATGGTATACACATTACTTACTAATATGTTTTTTTCACTTTCTAGTGAAAGTGAAACTTTTTGTATAAAGTAACTAAGCAGTTTTCTACCATTCTGCCCCCATCTTGAGAAGTTTGCCCTTTTGTTAATGATCAGATTATGAGACAAATAAGACCATTTACACCACTTTTCTCTTTAAGTATTGTAAGGATAACTTTTTCTAACCTCTAACAGCTTACTAACATGTAGTATTTTTGAAGAGAGAAAAAGATATGTTTCTGCAGAATATGACATGCTTTTTGCTGTATTATGCATAAACACCTCTTAGGATTTGAAAATATCAAGGCTCAGAGTACCCAGGTATAAGGAAAAAAGCTATAGCTTATTAACTTAAGTTTCCTTTGGGTTTTTTTTTTTTTTCTTTAAATAAGCAATAACTGTAACCCAGGAAACAAATCTGAGCCTCAAGATGGGACTCTGCGAGGGTCTCCTGGCTCACTTAGTTCAAAAGTAGGATATTTACCACACTTCATAAGTTATAAATGAAATGCAGACATATTTAACTATATAAAATGTTAATCAAATACTACATAAAATAATTTGTCAGAATATAACAAACTGAGAAAATAAGGCAATGAGAATCCTCATATTTTAACCTAATATAGAGCTGCTATAAATTAAGAAATATACCACAGTCAACTCCTTTGGAAAAAAAGACAAAATATATAAATATTTAAAAGACAAAATATTTTTTAAAAAGTTAAAAATAGCAAGACATTTTGGATATTAAATTTTAAAGTTGAAAATTTTCTTAGTAAATTTGGACTGCTATAACAAATTACCATAGGCTGGGTGGTTTAAACAACATTTATGTCCCATTGTTCTAGAGCCTAAAAGTCCCAGAGTAGGATGTCAGTGTAATCTGTTTCTTGGTTAGGCTTTATTACTGGTCTACAGACGGACAAATGTCTTCTTGCTGTGTCCTCTCATGGCTGAAAGAGAGCTAGCTAGCTCTCTGGCCTCTGCTTATAAGGGCAGTAATTCCATTCATGAAGGTCTGCTCTGCTCTTATGACCTGATTACCTACAAAAGGCCCCATCTTCAAGTACCATCATGTTGTGATTAGAGCTTCAACATATGAATTTTGGGAGCACTCAAACATTCAATAAGAGAAATTTTAAAATAATTTTTTTTCACTTACTATATTATTAAAACTGTTAAGCTGGAAAACCTAGAGCAATTGAGTAATATATGTCTCTACAAGCTAAATTGCTCGATTCAAGTTAATTGTGGTGAGTTATAATTAACAGTGGACAAAACCTGGAGTCAACCAAAGTGACGATCAACAGAAAACTAATAAAATATATTATGGTGGGGCGCCTGGGTGGCTCAGTGGGTTAAACCTCTGCCTTCGGCTCAGGTCATGATCTCAGGGTCCTGGGATCAAGTCCCGCACCGGGTTCTCTGCTCGGCAGGGAGCCTGCTTCCTCCTTTCTCTCTCTGTCTGCCTCTCTGCCTACTCGTGATCTCTATCAAATAAATAAATAAAATCCTTAAAAAAATGAATAAGTTATGGTATATTCATTTGATGAAGAGCTATTATAAAGAATAACTATGCTGTGGAGGTTAGCAAGATATTTAAACAAACAAAAAGCAAGATACCAAAGAGTGTATCAATATATTATTCACCCATTATGTACAAATCAAACAAGTGGATAGATAGGCTGTTGTATAGATATTATATCGAAGGCTGGATAAGTAGATATATAGATGGGTAAGAGACAGATGAAGTGTCTTTTGTAGAAGAAAGCCCACCGATTTTTAAAATAAATCATATTGGAGAGAAATACTAGGGTAGGACAGGGTTATAAGGCAAAAGAGGAGGCTTTCACTCTTCATTTTGTCTTTTTTTTTTTTTAAGATTTTATTTATTTATTTGACAGAGATCACAAGTAGGCAGACAGGCAGGCAGAGAGAGAGGAGGAAGCAGACTCCCTGCTGAGCAGAGAGCCCGATGCAGGGCTCGATCCCAGGACCCCGGGATCATGACCTGAGCCAAAGGCAGAGGCTTTAACCCAATGAGCCACCCAGGCGCCCCTCATTTTGTCTTTTTATATTTAAAAAAATTAATCATGTTGCATAGAGCAAAGCATATTAATTACTCACGGAACATTTTATTTAATACAGTATACAAAGAGAAAAGTGCGTAACTCATAAGGGAACAGCATAATGAACTCCCTTCTGTGATATACACATTTAACTAGTACTCAGATTAAGAAACAGATTATACCCCAGAAATATCCTTCATGCATTCAGGTCTGGTCTTGGTTTTAACATGACTGATATTTGGGTTTAATATGATTGATATTATTTAATGCTAGCCTAGAATTCCAAAACCAGTTTTTGTTTGTTAAAGGAGTCTAGATTTATTTTATGAGGAACAACATTTTTATGAAGTAACTCTTTTAAAAGTCATTAATTAGCATGTTATTATTTCAATAGAGGCAGATAGTCACCAATGATTCCCCAGAAACCAGAAAAGTAAAAATGAGAGTTCTTGGTTTTTGTTTTTGTTTTGTTTTGTTTTGTCTTCAGATTCTTTTCCTCTAGAAAAAGAAGGAATGGTACGTGTCTGCTTCATGATGTTTGACACCTCAGCTAAAGTGGCTTGGATGACTGCAATTGGCTGGTCCAGCTTGGCTTCGTCTTACAGCTAGGGGTTTAGTTCTTTACATATCAGAAACCAGGGCTGGAATGTCCATGATGACATTTTCAACTCTGAGAATTTAGATCCATATATCTAAAACCTACTGGATATTTTCTTATGAAATATCCATGGATTTTTCTCAATAAATCTAAAAATATCCATATATCAATTTTAAAAGTGCCACAGAATTATGGTAGAAATACAATGAATGCATAATACAGTACATATAATTATTGTAGAAATAACAATATACAAGTGCTCACACACATACACATACCAGTATCCCCTTGTTTTAACAGCATAATGTTATATTTTTTCTCACTGGAAATGTGATAGTTTAAAGTTTTTCTTTTTATTACCCACATGCAAAATCCTGTAACTACTGATGCATAAGCTTCAAACCAAGTAAATTTAGACAATTTTGCACAAGAATCTACTTCTTTGACTGTCAAATGCACTTGGTTGCATTTAAATTACAAAGAGGAATGTGGAGCAAGATAGAGATTTTTCAGGTTCAAAGCCAGCACAACATTACCCTTGAGTTACTGGATATGATTTTCCATAAATATATTTTCCTTCCGGGAACCAATATACGCATTCTAGAGAAAAGGCAGAGAGCTGTACTGTGACATTTAGTGAAAATTCAGTTTTGAAATGGACCTGTGGCTTCAAACTATTATCTCAGTTCCATGCATCTTAGATCAAGACCACTGAAAAACTGTTTATTCAAAAGTCCAAATGTCAGCATGAAGTGTTCAGGAATTAATGTTATTCTGAGGGTGTGTTGTGTGTGTATGTGTGTGTGTATTGGTATTTTCAAAGAAAGTTAAATACAAAAAGGCAAAATATTCTTTCAGCTATGAAGTAGGCATTTTTACTACTTCTAAATTCTGGCTTAGTAGAAAATTTGAGTTTAAATATAAATCATCTCAATGTAATAGATGATTTCTAAAAACAGAAAATTAAAGTGTAAACTTGAGATATAAGATAAATCCTAAAAGAGTCACCTAAATGAAATGCAGGTCATTGAAAAGGGAAGGCATTCTGAAGAACATTGTTTTAAAAACCTTTGCAGAAGGTAGGTGCTTCTTTATAGTATATGTGCGAATAACTTTGATTTAAAAATTAGCTCTTTGCCATCTTGCAGGATGGCCGGTGAGAAATCTGAGAAGCTGGATACTAAGGAAAGAGAAACTTGAAGCCAAGAAGGCTGATGCTGGTGGCAAGAATGGTAATCTTGGGACGCCTGGGTGGTTCAGGAGGTTAAGCATCTGCTTTCGGCTCAGGTCATGATCCCAGGGTCCCAGGATCAAGCCCCACATAAGGCTCCCTGCTCAGTGGGCAACCTGCTTCTCCCTCTCTTCCTCTGCTTGCTTTCCCCACAACACACACTTGTGCCCTCTCTCGCTCTCTCAGTAGAGCGAAAATTCTAAAATATCTCACTCATGCTTTCAGGAAGAAGCTGAGTAAAACCACACACCAGAGAGGTGAGATCTTCAACACAGAGAAGGAGATATATTAGATTGTAGAGCAGCACAGGTTGATCGGAAAGTTCGGGACACACAAATTCTGCCAAATATCAAAGCTATGCCTCAGCTTCAGACCTACTTCTGCTCTGTGTCTTTTTTCACAAATTGAGTTTATCCTGACAAATTAGATGTTCTAAATTTCCCTTTTTTTCCTAAATTTCTTACAAAGAACCTAATTAAGTGATTCATTAAATAAATAAATTGATAATAATAATTAACATGACCCTTTAAATAGTGAAACATTTTAAACAGGGAACATTTCTATCAGTTAATTTCTATATCTGCTACCTAATTCAGTACAAAAATTGTTTTTTGCATGCTTCCAGAGAGCAGGCAAGATGCAAAGCAGAGAGATAAATATGCCTGGTCATGTCGTAAAGGAATTCCATACTCTGGAGATGAGACACTGGTAAGACAAACATAGCAAGAGAGAGAGTGGGATAAGTGACAAGAAAGCAAGAAGAACTTCTCTTCTGCCACACAGCTCCATATTGCCTGAAAATCAGCCACCTCTGGTGAATTTTGGTTATATAACTCTCCTGGATGTTACTCATAATCAATCATTAGCACCCATGGAAACAGAGCCAACCACCCAGCTTCAGTATAAACTAGGAATGATGCCTTGATGTTGCATTTTCCTTCTCTATGCCTCAGGACATCCATAATGTTACGTACTAGCCCTTAAAGAAACTTGAGTATGCCCTGAAGTCTCCACTTCTTGTGTGGCCATCTCAATTTCATGGTGCTTACCTTATTTTCTTTTGCACCACAATTCCATAGGAATCAAATAGCTTTTATCCTATTGTACCTATCACATCTTCCAAGCTAAAAAGTATTTCCATTTCTTTAAGATATTTATCAGTCAGATGAACCACTTTACTCATCTTCCTTGTTTCTATGATGTACCAACCTCTTGCCAACTCCCATTTATCCAGTGAAAATGTACTTCTTAACTCAAAAGTTTTACTTTCCCACAATTGCATAATTCTTGGCAACATCAATATCCACATAGATAGTTACTTTAGACAGCGCATCATTTTTCGGTTTCTTATCTCTAGTAAAATTTTCCCCAAATTTTCTTCACCTACTCTCTCTTATAACAATACTCAGGATATTTCTAATCATCAAAACTTGACTTCATTATCAAAAATTTCAATGCAAGAACCCTAGTTTTCCAAAAATCTTTCCTTTTAGTTTGCTTTATTATGGACTTTCAGGTCAACTCTTCTGTGACTTCTGCAACATTATATCCTCCCATCCATTAATCATACAATTTGCTCATAATCTGTCCATTATCCATTTCCCTCACTTCACTTGCTTTATTGAGCAGTGTAGAGTCTATGGTGCATTATGTAATTTACTCCTTCACATACCTCCATAAGTATTTTTTAATCCATCCTCTGCTCCTTTCTCATCTCAGTCACCATACTTTCCTTCTGAAATTCCAAATCTGAATGAACTTAAAGAAAACCTGAACATGTCATTCCAAAATATGCTACTTTGATATATTGATTATTTTGAATTAGAAATACTTAAAGGGGCCCCTGGGTGGCTCAGTCGATTAAGCATTTGCCTTCAACTCAGGTCATCATCTCTGGGTCCTCGTCCATAGGGCTCCCTGCTTACCCGGGAGTCAGTTTCTCTCTCTTCCTCTACCCCTCCTCCCTGCTCATGCTCTCTCTCACTCAAATAAATAAAATCATTATAAAGAAAGAAACAAATAAATAAATAAAAGCATTTAAAAAACCACAGATGCAAGAAAGACATTTTGACCCTCCTTTTTCTTCCATAAAACAGAAGATGAAACTCATGTGAAAGTTACTTCCCTGTACCAGGAGGAAGGAAGACATTCTTATCACTAGAAATGGAGAATTTAGGGCCAACAAATCTATACCAAAAACCTTGTTAACCTAACTTTATCTTCCTGTTACTTCTTCCCCATTTACTGTCCGTAATCCAAATCCCTTTGAGTTGTCAATTCTTGATGAATGTATTGTTTCTTTGTCTAACAGGTTTAAGAGCTTCTTGCTCTGGACAAGTCTTCATTCTTCTGTGAAGTCTTCGATGTAAGTGTAAAAAGTTAATAAAATTTATATGCTCTTCATCTGCTAATCTGCCATGTGTTAGTTTAATTCCTAGGCCCAGCTGCATACCTAAAAGTAGAGAAGAATTTTTTTTTCCCCAACAAACAAAAACATGTATGTCTTCCATGGGCCTGTGACCAAGCAGCTAAATCACACATCCAAGCAAATACAGCAGTTGTACTTCACATTCAATATCTAAAGATTAAAATGGGCTGCCACACTGTCTGATAATTCTACTCTTCCAGTAGTTTACTCACTTTCTCATTCCCAGGAAGATTTTGTCATATCTTCTTCTTTTTCCAAATGCGTGTTATCTTACCCCCCTTCTGCCAGCTCAGATGATGAGCTTGCCTCACACATTACTGAGAAAAGAGAAATCATTAAATAGATGATAAATCTTTTATCTTTCACCTACAAAAACGAATCCAGGCAAGGCCTTCAGTGACCTCAAAGTTACCAAATTCAATGTTCTTTCTACTTACACAATACTGCACAAGCACTGTATTCAATACTGTTGACATGCCACTTCTGAAAACATTTATCCTCTCCTGAATTTTGTACCATCAGACTTTCCTTGTTCTTCTCTTTTTCCCACCTCTTTTTCCAAGCTCCATATATGAAATTCTCTAGGGTTCTGACCTAATATTACTGCATACTTTTTATTTTCTTTTGGGACATAGTTTATAAAAATTTTTGTGTAATTTTGCCAGCTTAATATCTGTCCCCATAATGTCAGACACTAATGTTGCATATACTTTTCTTAGATGATTCTCATTGTCTTTATATTCTAGTCACTTTGTCTCTATTTATCTTACTCAGGGCAATACACACAGAATATATATTTGTTTGTTAAATGAATGAATAAACAGAGCTACTGTGATCTTAATACAACAGTAATATTTGTATCTACATGGTTAAAAGCTTAGAGAAGAGCTCAATGATTTGATATTTCCTCTGTGTTTTCACAATTTTTAGAAACAGCAGGTTTTCACTGTTCCTTTCTCTCACTGAAAGTAATCATATCCTGCTATTACAATCTTTTTCTTACTTGATAGCTGTAACTGGCAGCTTTATCGTTTCTTGTGAGACTGTGTCTATGCTCAAGCTAAGGAGGTCTTTACTGCTTGCAGCCAGAATGGGAGACTCTGCTCCAAGGGAGAACCTGCTTTTACTTTGGTGCCTACAGGGCATTTGACATCATTCATTTTGATCAGGCTACTTCCTGCCTTATTAGTGATGCTACATGCTTCATGGTGCAGGTTAATTTCCTCTTGCAGATCTGCATAAATTGTCAACATTATCCTATATCTCAGCTACATATTCCTTCAGGGAATTGATCAGCATACCTTCTCTCACTTGAATACTATATTTAAACTCCCTACATATCTATATTGGAATATGCCTGGAAAAAAAAAAAGAGTATCTGGAGAATGTCTGGTTATAAACGTTATCTGAAGTATAGTTCAATAATATCATTTTATATATGAACAGTTGAAATACTGGCTTAGTTTACCTGCTATTTTTGAACAGCTTCTTAGCAGCTTTCTGTTTGTTTAAATAGGATCTCCCTTTCCTATAACTTTTCTGTAACCATTAAATATACCATGTAGTGTTAGATATGGATTATTAAGAATTAACTTAATTTCTGATTTTGTATTCTGAGGTTTCAAGTTTTATATACCATAAGCTTTATTAATACCAAAATGGAGGTACTTACTATATGGTGAGTCATAGAGAATCTAGCATAACTGCTCTTTAAGAAATAAAGAAAATTTAAGGATGGATCAACTAAAATGAAATAATTCACTGCTATAAAGAAGCTCCCAAATACATAGCTTAAGCCAGTTTTGCCTACAGGTAAAAACCACTTTAAATGTGTTTGTTTATCTCTATTACTGATCTTTATTTGCACTGGTGTGTGCTAATAGTTTAGTCAAGGAATTGTTTCCTCCATCTTTATTAATGGCAATGAGTAGGGTTGATTTTGTGTAGGAAACAGAAAGCACTGTACTATATTTTAAAAAGAGAATATTTTAATATGAAAATTACCGTGCTTTTGAAACTATTGAAAGGGAGGAAATGATAAAATAGGCTTCTCAGAAGGATACACATGACAATCCCTACTTTCCAGAGAAGGTACAACCTCTATGGACTCAGAGCATGACTTTTTAGAAAGTTGCCATTGGTTTCACTGCATTGCAAAACATATCCCATCTACTCTTCAGGATGTTAGAACCAGAAAGCTAGTGCCACCACCACAGGCACAAATGTGTCTTGACACATACCAGTTGGAGATGGACATGGGCACTGATTCTGGCCCACTGACTGACATGATCACCTCTTAACATCCACAACCTAGACGTGGTCTACTGGAAATCTGTTTCAGACAAAACCAACTCCACATCCTTTCTTTCCAAAAGAAAATAACTAAATAACAAGAGGGTTGCTTGTGTTCCATTTTCACCTTCCAAAGCTCAAGAGAAAATGTTGTTTTTAGCTTTATGGCATTCAGAGTAGGAAGTGTGAGTAAATACTACATAACTTTGATCAAATCCACCTTAAATATCTGTGAAGAAAACCAATACTGAAAGTGGGCATCAAAAATACATTTAAAAAAT